GCTCATACACACGTTGCAGGCATGATCTCTTTCAATTTTCATGACACCCCTCACAGAGAGACACGGTCCTCATCTGGAGTCTGCCTGGACAGAAACAGGCGTGCAGGAAGCTCCGCAGCTGGGCTGGTGACGTAGGAGTTAAACCCAGGTCTTCCTGAAATTCTGTGACTCCACTCTTGGTCACCGTGTGCAGGCTCTGAAACGATTATTTAGGACACTATTACAGCAAGGTGTCAGACTGGATGTTTCCTGAAGGCGTCCCCCCCAGCTCTGTTCTATGATTCTGCGCAGACTCCGTTCAAGTGTGCTGCCGTTCACTGCAACGAAGCCGTGAGACCGGCTCTAGCCTTCTCTTCTCCTAATGCTTATAGTTGCAATTTGATGGTTCTGGTGCTGCTCGTGAAGCTGCTCACCGCTCCCACAGGCTGTGGGCTTTGGGGGGACACAAGTTCTACAGGACACAGTCTTTGTCCTTAAGGGACTTAGCTATGGTGGGACCAAGAAAGATGTATCCTGACCCCAGCAATGGACATCATGTGGCGTGGACAGAAAGAACTGTGAGATTCTGAGGCTGGAGAGACATAGGCATTTTCTAGAAGGATATCCTCCCATCATAAAAGCGGTCCAGGTACAGGCAGTTTTGATGGGAGTGGCAGTCAGGCCCTGGCTTCTGCATGTATGACCATTGCTTGCTTGGGGACCAGTCACCCTGGGGGTATGTGTGCTTGTATTATTTCTAGGGACCTGCATGGCATGCAGCCCCATCAGAAAACAGATCCATGTGCCAGCAGGGCCCTATTCCCCGGTATCTCCACCAAAGCCAGGCAGCAATTAAAACTTCAAATCCCTTCACCCACCTCTGAGCAACCCCACCCCCCACACCATGTCCAGAGTTTTGACTGCACAGGAAAAAACTAGTTGGCTAGTTGGCTCAGGTGTGCAAACTAATACACGAGTGATGGCAATCAGAAAAAGTGTCCAACTTTTGTTGGAATCCTCTCCATACCTGTACCTAAGAGAAAGAGGGAGAAACGATTTTTCTCACACGCCCTGTGAACGTCACTGGTACCCAAATGCTGTCTTCATCCTTGGACAGATAAGTAGAGAAAGAGAGCCTCCCCAGCATTATTTCCTGCTTGGAAAACAGCCATGGAGTTCGCACTTCTGATAAACGATTAAAAATAGCGGTAATAATGAACCAGCATTCTGGTGCTTACCGTGTGGTAGGTTTTGCATTAAGCCCTTTCCATGGTTCTCTCGGAACTAGGACTTGATTCATGATTAGGACTCGAGTCTCCTGACAGTTGTGCTTGCCTGGGACCTCATGGTTCTCTGGCCTAGGGGCCATGGCTGAACAGAAGAGCCACTGGGTCCTGAGCCCAGAGCTACTGAGTCAGGTCCCTACCGAGAGATTTCTTAGTTCGAGGGATCCGAGTTTGGGATAAGCATCCTGAGAGATTCTTGACTCAACCAGAGCTGAGAATTGCGGGTTTCGCTGCCCTTTTCCTATCACAGGTTTATACATGTGCTTCCTTGCATTGTTTGTGGGGGTCCTGTTCCCAGAAGTCCTGTAACTCCTAAGTGACAGTCTCCCCCCACCCCCCCACCCCGGGCTGTCTGCAGTTCTTTCCACTGCCCCACAGGTTTTTTGTACTTATTTTAAACTGTCTGAGATTGGTCTGTTTCTTTCATTTCAGTGTGTGTGTATCTTTCCAACCAGATAGAAAACTTGTAGAAGGTAACAACAGCCCTTTCCTCCTAAAGGTCTCCACGCCATCTGATGTGTTTATTCCTTGCTCGTTTCTCTCTCCATCCCAACACACGCTGGGGAGCTGATTTGTGGGTTGTTTTTCAAGTTGTCCTAAACAAAAATGGTTCCTAAAAGCATCCTCAGTGCCTGTCCGTGAGTCGCTGGAGCTGGCCTTGGAGCAGCTGCTGCTCACCCTGCTGGCTTTGGCCACGTCGAGGCCTTCGTGGCTGCTGACGAAGGAGGTGTTACTGGGTGCTTTTAATATCAGTGTTTTGATTGCAAAATGACAATGCACAATACACGGCTCCTATGAGCAGCTTGCTAGCCTCTTTCTGTGAAAGTGTCCAGTTGTTCATAGGCGTCATGAAACCCGGCTGTTGGGATGGTTGACGACTTCCTGTGGGTTTTCCGGGAGCATCTAGGAAAGCCATATTTTTCTTTCCAAACATACCCATGAAAAAGTTAGAAGCACCTTTGAAAGTGCCTTCCCCACAATGAACTGTGGTGAGAAATACTCTTAACTATATTACACCCCTTTTTCACCCATTTAAAATAAAAGGGACAAAAAGAAAAACAGAGGGAACCAACTGCTTGCTGGTCCCTGAACTGGAGAGGCGCTAGTGGGCAGCACTGGAACCTGCTTCTTTTCTTTTAATGCAGTTCCTTTTCCTTGATGTTAATGCAAGTTGTGCCTTCCTAAAAGTAATAAAAGGAAATGAAGACACGTTCTGAAATGAAACTTGACTCTAATCCATTCATCATCTAATACTAGCCTCTTTATCTTCGCTGGTACCTAATCTGGTTAAATGTCCCTGTTGTAGGATTTTAGTGAAAATCCTCTTTTGGGAATAGGGTTTTTTGCAATTGGATTACTCTCAGTAAATGGCCCAGTAGTTCACTTGTTTCAGCTTAATTTTTTCTTTGTGATCTCGCAGGGCTGAGTTACAGCATCGTGTAGTGGAGGGGGGATGGGGTGGGTTGCAAGCAGGGTGAGGGGAATGAGAGGAGGATAATCTGGGAAGGTCTGGTCATAGCAACTAGAAAAATCTTTAAAATGCTTTTCCTTTTTTTCCTGCTTGTCTCCACCGACCAACACTTCCCAGACAGAAAAATGCCTGGACTTTGTTTTCCAGAACTGTCCGTTTCTAAAATGCATACCTTTTACTAGTCCAATTCATCATCATCCAGTTAATTTGTTAGCGTTCCCCATGACTTCCTAATGAGATTCCTAATGAACCGGGGCTGCTGTAATCTGCATAAAATATACAGGTGCTTGCTTGGCAGTTTAGAGCTTTCTGGTAAAGTTCACACTCCCAACCAGACCACTCGTGGGGCTTTTCTTCCCTGCTGTCTGCGAAGGATTGTAGCGTGCGCACTGGTTCTAAGGGGCCAGCAGGGGTTCGGAACCTGGGGTGATGGATAAGGAGGCTGGGTGCGTGGGATTAAGGCCCTGCCAGGTTTCTTGTAACGGAAGGTTTTTCTAGCCAGTCCACTGGGAAGGCTGCCAGCCTCCTGCAGGTCCCTCCCAGGGGGCCCTGGGGTAGGAGATGCCCTGGGGTAGGTGGTGTTCCCCCACCTGTAGGAACACAGTAGGCCTGGGGGATTAAAGTCCCCACTTCCGATTTACCTGCCGCCGGGAAAAGTGCAAACCCTTGGGCTCCTTGACGGGGTGGTGGCAGCGAAGGTATTTTAAAAGGCAGGCTCAGCGGGGAGGTAGAGACTGAGGTGTGCCTACCCAGAGAGCAGAATTACAAGTGTCTGTTATTTCAGTGCACGGATCGGGGCCAGGGCAGCGGGCGGAGCTGATTGCCTCTTACAAAATCCAGGTTGGGGGTGTGGTCGGGGGGTCCCTCGGGGCCCGGGCGGTGCTCCGCAGTCCTGGGCTGCTGGGAACCGGCGTGACAACCTTCTCCTCTCTTCTCTTCCTCCCCGCAGTCGAACAAAGTGCCGGTTGTGCAGCACCCTCACCATGTCCACCCTCTCACGCCTCTTATCACGTACAGCAATGAACACTTCACGCCAGGAAACCCACCTCCACACTTACCAGCTGACGTAGACCCCAAAACAGGTAGGCCGCGTCCTTGGGCGCAGAGAGAGCGTGCTTGGGGGTGGGGAGAGTTGGGGACTGGGCGGAGGTGGTGGTGGAGGGGCCCCGGCTCCTCTCCTAGGGGTTGAAGAGGAAGCTCCTTGGGGAGGCCGGAGCCCGGTGACGGAGTGCATCTCTCCTGCCCCGTGGAGAAGCCCATCTGACGGCCGAGGTGCTCCAGACCTCCGAGCACCCTGCAGGGCCTGTCTTGAGAACCTGACCGTGAGTCACTCAGTGGTTTTTTAGGAGTAGCTTATAACTCCAAGAGCCTCGCCCGGACTCAGAGACAGTGATCATTTTGGAGGCATCTCATGGACTCCTACTCAGCTCCTTGGGAATGCAAGAGCCGTAACCGTGTCGTTCCCTGAAGCCCCAGTTCCCTTGTGGCTAAAGTCACTTGACGATGACTTGGTGTAGCCTCAACAGACTGCGTCGCTGGGTTATGCATTCTCTTTGCTGATTATTTGGGCTCTTCCTCCCCTGCGATATCCTGGGTAGTTATTATCGAGCCCATTTTACAGGTGGGAAACCCCAAGTCCAAGATGGTTTCCTCATTGCGTCATGAAATGACCAATAGCATCACAGGCAGAAGCTGCCACATTACTCCAGCTTTTCCACTTGTCCCGCCCACTTTCCATCCCACACCCTTTTTCCCCAAAGAGGAGAGAGAGAGAAGGTGGGGTTACTTTGAGCTCCCCTACAGCAAGATTTAAAACAAGGTGTGGTGGTGTTGGGAGAACAGTAAGGCTAGGGTGTATCTTTCCGGTTGGGTGGTACACTGGCTGGGGTTTGGTTCTCTTCCCAGCTAATTAATTAGAAGGATGGATTTAGAATGGCTATTTCCTGTCAGTTTGTCAGAGGGAATTGTTTGGGGCTGGGCTGAGGTGGACTGCCTGTTCGGGCGGCCTTTGCTGTCCCTGAATGAAGCCACACATCAGCTGCTTTTCACCAGCTTCTGAGCCCGCTTTGTGCTGGTGAGGGACCGAGCCTGGCGCTTGGATGGCTGGAGGAGGCCGCCAGCCGGCCCCAGGCTTCACGAGTGAATGGCAGCCTCAGCGTCTCATTTAAATAATGGTAGTACAGGGAATAGCTTTTAAATGGTTATCGTAAAACATATGATTAACGTCTGCGGACTGTTTACTTTTCCTCTGCGAACATTCTTTCAAGTGTGCGCATGGCTTGGTGTAGGGTCCAAGCCCAGCTAATCTGTTTGGTTTTTGTAATAGAGAGAAAGTGATGTCTGCCTGCAAATGTCACCCAGGGAGGCTTAATTTACAGATTGAACGCTTCCTGAATGAATTTTCTAAAAAACGAAATAGTTTTCATCCAGGAACACGCAGCTCGTTCCCTTCAATACTAAGGAATTGATGGTTTTGTTTCCCACTTAAGCTGCATAGGTCTGCTCCTCTGGGTCCGAGATGCAACCGGCCCTCTTGCTTTTCTAAGAACCGATTGCAGGATGTGTTCCTAGGGAATTAATGTGTGTGCAGTGGCTTGGGCCTTCAGAATTCACTCCTGTGTGTCACGTGAAGGTTCTCAGCCCCTGTGGTACAGCAGTGCCAGACACTGGGTGGGGCTGATTCACACAGGTGACTCCGTCCTCTAGAAGACGAGCTTCTAGAACTGGGTATCGCAGGCCTCCAGCGTCTGCTCTGTTCAGTTCAGATCCTGCCTTGGACGAGATGCCGAGGCACGGGGCGAATTCTCCTACAGCTCATCTTCAAGATGGACTTGACACATTTTAGCGGAGTTAACTTTTTTGAAAGAAGGCAAGGGTAAACTTTCTAAAAGCCTTAACTCAAAAAGTATGTTAGAAACCAGAGGAGTAACTCTCAGGCAGGGAAGCCATTAGAATCAAAAGGAAGGAAGGGGCAAGCTGTGAGGACAGAGGGGTTTAATGTTACTTGATCACCTACTATGTGCCAAGCCCTTCAGATTTTTTTTTTTCCAGTTCAAATGATCACACCAATCACATGAGGCAGAAAATACCCAAGTTGTCATTTTCTGAGTTTGCCTGCATTAAGCCAGTGTATGATCTGTCTGGAAGGAGAGAAAGCAATTTTTCAAACTGGGGCAGAGGGATAATGACATGAAACTTACCGACAAGTCTTAGGTTCACAATCATGAAAAGAACCTTATGCTAGGATTACAGAGGCAACGTCTCCCTTTATCCTTCCCCTGTTCCCATCACCTGACAGTTTCTCTTTCCTTCCCTCCCTCTCTTGTACCTAAAATGCTGCTTCTTCTCTCAGGAATCCCACGGCCTCCGCACCCTCCAGATATATCTCCGTATTACCCACTCTCGCCCGGCACCGTAGGACAAATCCCCCATCCGCTAGGATGGTTAGTACCACAGTAAGGAGTTCCATTTTTTAATTTCCTTTTTGTTTCTTACATGGGCATGCTTATTATTTATTCAGTGCATGTATGTGTGTGTGTTTAGAAGACAGGGCTGGTGAGGGAGGGCCATGGGTGGGGGTCGTGGGGAAGATGCTTGCTGAAATGCCCTGTGGGAAAGCAGGCAAGGCAGTAGCCATTCAGATGGATGATGAGGGTGGGTCGGGGGCTACTGATACTTAGCATTCTGAACCGGTGGTCCCCCAAAGGCTCTAGGTACCTTTCTGTGAACGACGGTACCCTTAAGGTACTTGGGGACTGCAGGAGACTCTGAGGGCTTCTCTCCTGGGAAGCTGATCATGGCTTTTCTGCTGGTGGTGGCAGCCCCAACTGGAGCCTTGCTGTTGCACTGAGGGAGCAGGCAGGTGGCAACAGGCATAGCCTAGCTTTGAAATCCAGGGGTGGGAGTCGGGGGTTATAACTCCACACCCATCCCAACCATTGCTCCCGAAATTGACAGCCACTGTGGAAGTTTGTGTCTATTGAGAAGTTCCATGTTATCCAACCAGCATCTCTCTGAGATCCTTTGCACGTTGAGTGCTTCACCTAATTATGGGGCGGGGGGTGGAGAGGGGGGCAGTTGGAGTCCTCACTCCTGCATAGGAAGCCTTCCTGAATGTCAGCCCTCATTCCAGGCAGTGCTCAAAACATCAGACTGCCTTTTACGATTTGTCTTCCTATCACCTGCTCTTGCCTTTTCAGTACCATCCATTTAACCTTCCCTAGACAACTTTAAAATAAAAATGTGCTCTAAAATCAGAGCAGAAAGGCCTTTAATGCATCAGCATACCATGTTTGTGTGCGTTCGTGTGCATGCGTGTAATGTGTGTCTTACGATGGCATGCTTTTGTGTTGTATTTCCCCATGTTTATCAGTGATCTCTACTCTTTAAAAAACACAGGACAATTTGTTGAATCTTAAGCAGGAATAAATCCTGATAAAACTCTCAAGTTTGAGTCTTAGGAAAGACATCCTTTCCTAGCCTTGCAGAAGATACAGTTTCGGCGTGGTTCACCCCCCTCCCCCCGCTGTATCCTCACTCTCTATGGAGCATATTTCACACTGTTTTTTTAAAAACAACTTGTCTTATTGCGGTAGCTGTACTAAACGCCAACCTGGGGTGTAGTTTATTTTTTTTCCTCCTTAGTTTTGTTAGGGAGGGTAGACGTGGGCAGGAGTGTGTCCTAGTTCTTCTTCATTGGGTGGGGCCATGCCTCCGATAGTTCTCAGTCATTGCTTGCTCCATTCAGCTGATGGGGAGATATTTGAAGGCGAGATAAAAAGGAATAGCCAACTCAGACAGCCCTCTGTCAGGAAGAGTTGTGTGTCTTTCATGAGGATGCTATTTTGCATGTTGCTGTATTTTTTAATTATTGTAATGAGGTGTGATTGTCTATTGGTTACCCACAATTCTTCTTGGGGACTCTCCCCCCGGTAACTCTTGTCAACACTTGTTAATTTGACAAAAGGCTACAAATTAAGCTCTGTTAATTTAATGTTTTCTCACCGAGATCTAAATACCGAAAGAGGCCCAAAGCGCAACTGAAGTCCTTTGATTCACTGTACTTTATTTTGGTATAAATTTACATTCATTATTGTTTTCCTTTGGATGTGTAACCCTCAATTAGTGTGATGGCTCCATTAAAGCAAGTGAGACTTCGCCTTTAATTATTACAACAAAACACCTAGTTTCAGCTTGGGGAGAGGGTCTCTATTGACATAAGCAAAGGTTATAAAATTTAATTAGCCATTCCTATCAGATTTATGGCATTCAAATTGTTCTGTGTTTCTTCCCTTTGATCCTTCCTGTACAATCCCCAAGATTTTTGTTCTGATCAAATGAGAATAAAGCTTACTGTGCAGAGAGAACTTCTCCTTTTTCTTCTTTTTCCTGGCCCTACCCCCCACCCCGGTTTGCACTCTCTCACTTGGTATCCCCCTCTTTGTAGGCAAGGTCAGCCCGTGTATCCAATCACGACAGGAGGATTCCGTCACCCCTACCCCACAGCTCTGACTGTCAACGCTTCCATGTCCAGGTGAGTGCCAAGAGCCAGGGCCTTCAGCCAAGTCCCGGGGTCACTTCTGCGAACATTCTCTGGATGCTCCCAGGCCATCGGGGGGCTGCTGCTACAGGCGGTGCTTAGGGTGAAAGACCCAGAGGGTGTTAGACGCCCCCCCCTAGAGAGTACTGGAAAATCGCCCTGAACTTGCCAGGTAGGTGACGGCAAAATTTCCAGGTTGAGTTCGTGAGTCAGGCAGTTGGGTGATCATCTTTTTTAAGAGCAGTATCTTTTTGAAGAACTTAAGAAGGCAGGAAGAAGTAATTAGGACATGTGGAGCTCTTTAAAGTGTTATTTCTCTATTGCCCTACACTGGGTAAGGAAGGGAAGGGTGTAGGTAAGTTGATTCGCCTACGAAGAAGAATTTGAGGAAAGGTTATCAGTCTTTACGAAGTTCCAGACTCTTACGCATCAACAAGAAGGAAAGGCCCATCCCCCCTTCCCCCAACCCAAACACACCCCTCTCTTAAAGTAGCCCACTGTCTAGTAGAAACACAAAGTGAGCCCCATAGGGAATTTTAAGTTTTCTAATAGCCACATTTTGTAAAAGGTGAAGAGAAAAACCCAGACAGCTATTTTTAACAATATTTTTTGTTCAACCTAAGATAGTCAAAATGTTATCAATCTGACACGACATCACTGGAAAGCCACTATCAGTGAGATTTTACCTTTTTTTTGTGTGTCCTTGGTTTTTGAAGTCTAATATGTTTCACACTGACACCACATGTCAGTTTGGACTGGACACATGTCAAATACTCACTAGCCACAGGTGGCTGGTGGCTACCACGCTGTCCTGCGCAGCTCTGAATTTTTGAAAGTTTTAAAAACAAATCATGTGCATGTGTCCATTCACATATCTTTAAGCATGTAAATGTATGTACGACACATACACACAAGTACCCACATATGTGTACCTAGATCTTTCTAATGCCCGTGTTCTCCTCTTCCCCCTTCTGATTAATTCTGACTTAATTTTTCAGTGACTGCTAGTTTATTTACAAACTGGTTGGCAGCAGTATGTTTAAGTAGTCACTAATTGCTCCTAATGATAGTTTTATTTTCTGTTCATCTGATTTTCAGTCAAGTTAATTAAATCGGTGGAGGTTTAGACTTTCCTGATGGGCTGCAACAGCCAATCCATTCTGATGATGGCGCCTAATTCAATTAGCATGCGTTACAAGGCAAGGATGCCTCCTCCAGCCTGTTCCCCCAATCTCTGTAGCCAACATGAGGACTCAAGACTAGAGGAAGGGTTGGAAAGACAGGCCAGGATGTCTCATTCCCAATTACAAAACAGGGATTTGGGTGGAGGAAAGAGTCAGAACCACACTCATGAAGACACACACACTGTAGCATCTCTAACATCTGTAGCTGCGCCGTGGGTCTCACGCAGTTCTAAAGACCCGTTTCCCACGTGTGATGAACCTTCTCCGTGTCCAGGTCCGCACCAGCACCAGTTAGGCGGGAAAATGCTTGTGTGCTCTCTTCTCCAGCGAGGAGAGGAAGGTTATCCTCATTAGATAATGTCGTCACCACCGTCGCAAAGCCTGGGAACGAACAGGGAGTCTCCCAGGAGGAGGGCGGCTTCTGAGCACCTTCCAACCCACAGCCCACCCTCCTCCAAACCCGCATTTGTGCGACGCACCGGCTTGTTTTTCGTGATTGTTTATTCAGTGCATTCCAGAGGTTAAAAGCGGGGCGGTCGTGGTAGGATGGGGAGTGAGGTTAAGCTTATCGATTGAATTATCATTAGGAGGTTAGTCGATGATTTCGAGGTGGGCCAGGGGTGGAGGAAAGGAAGGGAACGGTGGGAGGGAAGGTTAGGGGGCTCGGGGTGCGGGGGAAAGGCGGCCGGTTCCCCAGGTAGGCCTTATGAAAGGTAGCTAGTTAAAAAGCGTATACAGCAAATTAAATACATTATTGTGGTAATGGGGGCGACAGAAGTATGGGTCTATTATACTTATGGCAGTTATAGGAAATGTAGGCAGCTTGCCCTGTTCCAGAACACCCTTTGATATTCATTCTCTTCAGCAGCGGGGCCAGGACTTCTCAGAATTAAGTGATGGGTCATTATACTTTAAACACCATGGAGAAGCCTAGATTGGCAATTAAACAGCTCTTGCTGACACTCACTTGTGCCACCCTGTGACCCCCTTTAGATTGAGATGTTGGAGCTCCGGGCCCTCAGCCTACTAAATTGGCGCAAGGCTCTTCTCCTGACGAGAGCGGGCTCTGAAATCTGCCGGCTTCAAAGGGAGCGAGATCATGTATAAACCATAATGTGGGTGCACCGTGGCTCACAAAAAATAAGGCAGGAAGAGATGAAATGTTACAAGTGCGAGGGGGGAAATGAGAGAATAATGACAAACCTAATGCAACTCAAAGCCGGATTGTTGCACAGGAAAATGCATCCTACTGCTTGTGCATAAAATGAAGACCGGCAGATGACACCCAGTTAACAGAAACGTGTCAACAGTGAAGTAAAGTGAGAGTGAGTAAGGCAGGAGCCCCTGAGACAGCCAGAAACAAAAATTAGTTGTCCTTAACAAGTTAAGGTTCATCATTATATTCTGGCTTGGAGCCATGAAAGCAGCCGGGGGTATATAATGAGCTGCTTAGTATTTTTAGGGTGTTTATTGCATGGCATGAAATAGTTGTCTGCAGACTGGAGTTTCTTAAGCAAAGGTGTGCGTGTCGGTCATACTCACACTCAAACATAGACACACGTACACACACAGACACTCACACACAGAGTCTCTTTCTCGGCTGCACATTTCTCAGATACAGGAATATGTGTGTAGGTATGTGAACTTGGAAGTGTTCGTTCTTCATGGCTCCACTGGAAATTCTTCCCCACCCCAAAATGCCCTCCAACCGTGGTGTCTCCCTGTGGACACACACACACACACAGTGTTTTTCTCTCCCTCCCTCCCTCTCTCCCCCTTCTCTCTCTCTCTCCCTCTCTCGTACACATATCCTCATTCAGCAGGAAGGGAACATATGTATTTGAGGAATGTCAGTGCTTTAAAATTCACAGTAAAAGCTGCCACGCCACCCACCGCTTCACCTAAGGGCTTCCAAGAACACATGTTCTTAACTTCTGTCTTCTCCGAGGCCTTCAAGCTGCGGGAAGGAACAGGGTGTAACTTGGGAGTCCAAGTGCCTCCCAAGGCTTGGCTTTACTTTTCATTTTTGGGGGGGAAGGAGATGGAAGTTATTCTCTCTTTCTCTCAGGGTCTTTCCTTTCTTTTTCTTGACACCCTCAAAGAACTCGCATGATTCTTATTAAAAAATCATGCCGTTGTTACCAAACTTGGATGCGGACTTCAATTCGTAGAGGCGGTCGCAGGAGAGGGCCATGTCAGGATAGAAAGATTCTGAGTCAGGTGTCCACTGAGATTCTGGGCCCCCTTCAGAAAGCTGCATTATTCATTGGTGTTTTCCCTGTTGATCCACGCAGGGTCTGTCAGTTAGTACTTTTAATTTTTCATCATTTTTCGAATGGACATTTGCTGCGTTCTTTTGGTTTAATGGAAACTACTTTCATCTCCAGCCCACAAATGAAAAGAACGCCGTACACAAGTACAGGATCCTCGTGAGATAGCTGTCGCAATAAACTGTCATCAGCACATCCAGTTCCCAGCAGAGTTAGCTTCCTAAGGAGCAGGGGGTCGTTCCCTGGCTGGTGTGGGGGTATTTGGATTTATTATGAGAGCAACAGTTGCTTGGTCTGGGTTCCCCTGAACAGCACCCCCGTTGGTCTGCTCCCTTGTGTGATCTTGTGGGAGTGGAACCTGGGGGCTGCCATTTTGTTTTCTTAGAGGGGAGCACCACTTTGAGTCCCTCACCCCACTTTTTTCTGTAATAGTATGTGTGTTCCTTTAAGAGAGTGATTCTTCTAACTCAGAGCACATCATAGTGACTCCGAACATATCAGAAAATGTGAGAGCTGTTTGTGGGGTCTCGTGGTCAGTTTGCAGAAGGGCCAAGAGCATTTTGACAGTAGCTTTATCTGTCCTGGCTAGTTTGCAGGGTTGAGAAATGCCAATTCACAGCCTAAGTGGGGTTTCAAAGAACTTTTCTAAAAACAAACAGGATTAGAGGGAACAACACAAACTTTACGTCTCTTTATTTACAATTCTGACGTTCATTTATAAGGTCTTTTCATGCATAGGCCGTATTTTAAGTAAAAGTCACTTGGGAATCCTAGAATTTGAGAGTGGAAGAGGGTGTATAAATCAGAATTCAGAGCTTCATTGTGTGTGTGTAAAATGCTGCCTTTTGGGGTATCTCTGATACAAACTTATTCAAAATGTCTGTGACTTATGATGAGAACAAGATAGGAAATATTTGGATTTCCCCGATTTTTTTTTTTTTGCCTCACTCTCCCATTCTTGTCAAAACGATGGGGCACAGCAGCAAAAGAAAAATAAAATAGTTTTTGCTTTGCACTCCCATCAACAGAATGAGGCCTAATGAGAAATGTGCAGCCTTGTCAAAAATGTATGTACATGCTTCAACCATGTTAATCTTTATTTAGCTGTCCATATGCAACAAAAGATTTCACCTTTCATTCTAGCAGTGACTAAGAGTTAGGAAATAGTCTCTTAGAGGCCACTGGTAATGTCCCAAAAAACAAGTGGACACGTGACTTCCAGCAGGTAGCCCCAGTCTACGTTTCTGCCCATGTTTGTCGGCTGAGCTTGTCTTTTGCTAAAGATGTTAAAAATCGTAATGTCTCACGTCAGCGTCAATAATGAAGGGGAAGATTGGCTTTAATGACATTATGAGAATCATTATGTTTAATTTGTCACTAATTAATGCTGACAGGTTTCATATGCCTTGGGTTGCTTTCATGTGAGTGTTACGTACTGTTTTTGTTGCTGTTGTTTTAATTGTGTGCACACATCCCTCCCCATTCATTCATTTTGATTCTGACGATTTACACAGCTTTCTGTCTTCTAGGTTCCCTCCCCACATGGTCCCACCCCATCACACTCTACACACGACTGGCATCCCCCACCCGGCCATAGTCACGCCAACAGTCAAACAGGAATCCTCCCAGAGTGACGTCGGCTCACTCCATAGCGCGTAAGTGTCCCCGCTCCTCATCACTTTCTCCTTCGACCCCGTGTTTAGCCTGGGGGCCACCGGGTGGTGGCTCTGCCCAGCGTTGGCCAGGCTGGTGTGCCTCCAGCAAACACGCAGCCTTACAGAGAGGGAGAAACGCGCAGTGTGGAGTTCCACGGCTGGTGCCCACTGCAGGGGGAAGACAGAGCTCTCTGTGTCCTTGGAGGGACCGGGACTTGCAGCCACCCCTCCATCCCTAACCCTGCTCTCTGCTGTGAGCACAAGAGAGGCCGGCTGAGATGGAAACGGTCCCCATGTGCTTTTCCCCCTCTGGCTTGGAAAAACTGTCTATTTGTGAACCTGGAGGAAGTGAAGACAGAATCTCTCTTCCCCCACCCCCGCCCCAGGCTGTTTTTGTTCCGCTTCCCAGGGCGGAGAGGACCCAGAGCGGAGGTGCGCTTCTCTTTCCAGCTGCTAGGCTTGGGTGTCGAGGGGGCAAGGAGAGGGGCTCTCTGCTGCAGAGGGAAGCTGGACCTTGTGATGGTTTATTGGGTTGTGTCTGTCTGTCTTGTCTACATCCAGAAAGCATCAGGACTCCAAAAAGGAAGAAGAGAAGAAGAAGCCCCACATAAAGAAACCTCTTAACGCGTTCATGTTGTATATGAAGGAAATGAGAGCAAAGGTCGTAGCCGAGTGCACGTTGAAAGAAAGTGCAGCCATCAACCAGATCCTGGGCCGAAGGGTAGGCGGCAGCCCCGCTGGGAAGGGGACACGAATAGACTAGGATGCAGTGGAGGGGGTTGTTGGCAGATGGCCCCGTCCCCATTGGTCTGGAGAGTCCTTTCCCTTCAGCCACACTCGAGTCCCTCAGTGGCCTTCGTGGAGTTGGGACTGGTAACTCTGCATTCGAATGATGTTCTGGACGGCGACAGCCCGGTCCTCCCCGCCCCCAGAGAGAGCAAAGGGTAGAATAAGGTGGCAAACCAGGTTCTGTCTGAGCCCCCCGTTACGTGCCAGGACCCTGCCAGCTGTACCGTTTCTGATGGAAGCGCTGCCCGCCCCCCCAACCACGGTGTGGTTTGTGACTTCTCTGTGTGTCTCTCTCTCTCTCCCCTACCATGTCCCCTCCAGTGGCACGCACTGTCCAGAGAAGAGCAAGCAAAATACTACGAGCTGGCCCGGAAGGAGCGACAGCTTCACATGCAGCTGTACCCCGGCTGGTCCGCACGGGATAACTATGTAGGTGGTTCATTTTCTTCAGGACTAGAGCCTGTACAAATGTGTTAGGTGTCCAGCTGGACAAAGGGAACGCCACCTGCCAACTTGAGTCAGGCCTCAGTACCATTCAGTCCACCCACTCCTGGGACCGTTAGCATCTTGCCCAAGCACCAGATTGGAGGATTTTGTTCTGGCCTCCTGTCTTGCTCCATGAACATGCAGTAGTTCTTCACCGAGGAAGGAGGGGGCGGGCGTTCTCATGATCCGGCTCAGGGGGCCCGTGGGGTCAGCTGAGGGCTGTCCACACCTCGCCCATGTCTTCAAAGAGACACGGCCCTAGGATACACCCAGTGGGGCTTGTGTGCTTCTCAGCAGTGGTCCATGGAGTGGCCTTACAGAGAAGACCAGTAAGGGCAGAGGGGGAGAGTTAAATTCCTCACAGATGTCCCAGCTGGGCTTAGGCTGTGGTGCAGTAGAAGTTGGAAGGCTAGTTCATCCTGAGAGGGGCATGATGGGAATATCCCTGAAAGTAGCCAGTAGAAGTCTTCCTTTGGCAGATGGATGAAGTGACTCGGCCCAGCAAGGGTAGGGGAAGGTGTGTGTGTGTTGTGTGATGTGTGTGCTCCTGGGCTCTGTGTTGGCTGCAGGATTTGCCTAATTTCCTCTCCTGGGTTTTAGAAAACACTGTAGGGTGGTGTTTTCACTAATCCAATCGGCGATCGCAACACTCAGGATTCTTCTCCTCCCACAAACTAGCTCTCCCCTGTCACCTCTCACCTCTTACCATTGTTTCTTATTCTGCATTCAGTATTTGCAGTAGCTCAAGTTCAGAGCTCACTCTCCTCTCTGGATGGATGAAATGTCTCTTATTTTGCCTGATACTTAATTACATGGCATTTGGTTTCATGAAATGATTTTTACCGTCCATCCTTTGGGGGGAAAACAAGGCTTGTCTTAATTCCAGTAGCAGGCTTCTCCTCCCACTTTGCATCAGTGTCACTGATCCGTGGCTGTTTCTTCTACCCATCCGTGCTCCCGGCCCGAGCTCTCCCGTGGCCGTCTTCCGTGGTGAAGAAGCTCCCTGTGTGTGTGGGTTGAGATCCATTCAGTTATTGCTGATTGTGAACTTACTTTACACACCGTATTGAGGGGAATTAGTTAAATCAGAACTCTCTCAGAACGTACCAGCCCTCGGACCTCAACAAAAGTCTGCGTGAATACCTGGGTCCTGAGTGAGGGCTGTTTTCTGCTGGCTCTGACTAGCTGTTTCAAGTTTCTTCCCTTTTTAGCCTCATGCCTTGTGCTTGCTTCTCTGCTCTTGGCCGGGTGGATGGGGGAGAACGGAGCACAGAGACTGCTGGGTTTGACACCGATGTCTCCATCACTGCCACCACCCACCCCCCGTAGGTCCTGCTGCCCTCAGCTGGCTGCTCTAGACCTATTCCTCCTGGGAGTTAGTGCTTGTGCTGCTCAGTGGCACGTTTGCTCTGCTCGGAGCCCTTGTCACTCACAGATGGTCATGCACAGGGTCTTAACTGCCTGGGACCTTTCCATTGGTCCTCAGCATGGGAAGCCTTTCTTCTGGAGCTGAAAGGAAGAGGATAAGAAAGTTAATGCTCTCCCACAGGCTTGCAGCTCACCCCCACCTGACCTCTAGGTGGAGATTTCCGACAGCAGGCAGGCTCTGCAGCCTCCACACATACAGCCATCTCATTGCAGGACAGTGCTCTTCTGGTTTCAGGTCAGAAGTTCTTAGAGTTCATCTCCAGCTTCTCCCTGCTACAGACCCAATTCTTTGAGTAATCTAGAATGGTACCACAGAGAGGAATTCAGCTACTCTGTAGGAATCATATCCCCAGTAGATGTTTTGGGTTGTAGTAGGGCCTTCATGTACAGCTGTGCAGGGCGTGCACTGCACAACTTTAGGGTGTGCCATTTACGCTACAGTCTATGTACATGGTACTCCCTGGAGTTGTGCAGGGTGAGATCTCCACAAAGGTACAAGGCTGACTTTGTGAAAGCTTCAAAAGAATGCTGCGATGGGCTTTCCTGGAGTCATACGGGGTATTGCCCAAGGCTTTTTCTGAAGTGCTTTCCAGGTTTCAGAAGGTCCATGAAACACTTGAAATGACTTTAGCTCAGTTTTACATTTGGACAAGGTTTGGTGTAATATGGGTACCCCTGATAAGACTTGAGAGAAAGTTTAGAGGTGGATCTGGATTCGGGGGCTTTAGGAGATTTATCTCTTGGAAAGGGTACTGTCAGATTCCTTCATCAGTGGCTCATTACACGTGGCTGTGAGAACACACACACACACACACACACACGCATGCATGCACACACGCACACATGCACGCACTTCCTCCCTCCCTGTCTCCCCTCTTTCCTCCTCCCTCCCCCACCCCTCAAAGAAGCGGTCTGTGGAGCAAGAATCAGAGTTAAAGCTTTTATAGATTTGACTATGGAAACTTGTTAGTATATTTTTTTAACTGACTTGACATAGAAGCTTCTATAAATTACTTTAGTTATTTTAAAGTTCAGAAGGTTCTTCTGGAAAAAGTTTTCTGAGCTAATCACGTTATGCCTCTTTCACGTTCCTACTTTTCCAGCCCAGTGGTGACGGAAGCCTTTATAACACTACTTTAGCAAAACAGAATTAAGTAAAACAGTCACACTTAGGTTGTTGGACTTGGTTAAATTCAGGAACACAGAAAACATTTGGGTCCCCTAGTGCTAACTCATGGCGTTGTAATAGAATGTTACTTACTTTCTAGCTCGTCTAGGTTATGTAAAGGAGATAAGTCCCAGGCTATTTGCATATCTTGAGGTTTTTTTTCCCCTCTCCATCATATTTGAGGCCTTTTCTTCTGTTGCATTTAAAGAGCCAGTGGGATGGCCACCTCCCTTGAAATGCATCTCCCTCTGTGATTCACTGAGTAGCATTTATAAAGTTTCTTCACATCCTCTTCTGATTAAAACACAGTCCCTGTCCTCTAGAAGCCTTTAGTCTAAACGATCGTTTTCTCCGTCATGAACATCTCAGTTATGTCTCCTAAACTGACAGCTTCCCAGGGGTAGCAGAATTCTCAACTGCCTTTCAGAGTATATTGCGGGAGACTGGAAATGGGTGAGCCCTGTATCAGAGATGACTAGGAAGCTCTAGGCTGCATGGATACTGACACCGCTTGAAGTTGGAACGTTAGCTGAGTTTTTATTTCAGGCTCCTGAATAAACTGAAACTAGACCCTCCTGCCTGATCCAGGATGGCCGGGGTTTTTTTTGGTTCCTGACACTGGAGAGGCACAAACATGAAGATGGGCCACTGGGGCTCAGGACAAAGCACAGGCACTTTCTTCCTTTAATTTTTCGCATTTTCTTTTCTCTCTCTCGCTCTCTCTTTTTTTTTTTTAATATATGCCAAAGACCATAAAAAGTTTCAGATGGAAACACTGAACTGAAGGCCCAGACAAATTTCCCAGATGACAGGGGCCCCAAGATCTGAGAGGCTTTCTCTAGAAACATTGGCTCGGGTGGATCTAAATCCCTGTGGCCTTGCTGCCTTGGGGTCTTCTTACAGAGCCTTGTGGATTTTCCAGTTTTCTCTCTATCTCTGTTCTTGTCTCTTCTTGAGTTGATGTCAACATACCACGAGGACTTTTAGGCAAAGGTTAATATTTAGATATTCTGAAACAAGCAAGTGTGTCCGACCACCAGATTCTTTCGTTCGTGACATTTCATATACTGCAGGCAGCTAACTCATATAGTAGGACTGGAGCTAATGGGGTTGGGAGAACTCGGTTCAGATCTGGGAGGAGGCAGTTACCTCTACAGAATTCCTCCTTCCTCCCATCCCACATGCTTGAGGGGCTGTAAGCAGACTGTCAAGACATCAGGGAGGGTCAGGTTGGAGAATGTGAATGAGTGCATGCAATTTATCACCCATAATCCATTAAAAGCCTTCCTCAGAGGGTGAGGCAGTAAATACGGAGGCAGCATAGCCTCGTGGATAAGGGCTGTGGAACCAAGATTGCCTCGGTCCCCATCATGGCCCCACCATCTGACAGCTGTGTCATCTCAGGAAAGTTCATGAAACCCCTCTGTGCCTCAGCTTCCTTACCTGGGAGGTTGGAATGGTGATCATACCTGTTGTGTAGGATTGTGTGAGGATAAATGAGTCACTAGGCAGAGCACACTCTGACCGTGTCTGGCACAGAGTATGTGCTCAATAAATGGTAGCTGTTACTACTGGGAGTATTATAGTCATTCTGTGTGAGGAGATTGGCAAGAACAGAATGTTCCCCCTTAGAGGTGTCCATTCAGCAGTTTGCAAAGGAGCTCAGATGGTTTCTGGTTCTTTTTTGCCTCCCCACCCCCACTTCCTTTCCTGTCTTTAAAACCAAGGCCCACACTACTGAGCCAAGAAAATCCCCTACTAAGTAAGGCTTTTATTTTTTGATTCAGAATGGGGACCTTTTGCCCTAAAAAGGAAGAGATTTGCACAGGGCAGAGAGGTCTCTGAGTCCACACAGCATCTCAGCGTTCTTTTGTCCCTTGGCTCTTGGGCCACTTCCAACCCTGTCTGTCCACATCTCCCCGAATCTTCCCCATCCAGGTTTCCTCTTCCCTTTTATGGATGCTTTGAGGATGGACGTAGGTGTCTGGGAAAGGAGGCTTTTCCTCTCCGCCCCGCCTATCCCTTCTCTTCTCCGGCTGGGTGTGCATTCCTCCAGCTGGAACACAATTGAAGGGCACTTGGATTAAAGGGGGTGGAGGCTGGAAAACACCCCGGAGCCCATGTGGCTGGAGAGACAGTTTCCCCCTTCCCCTTGCCCCCTCCTTTCCAGGTGAGCCTAGATGCTCTCCTCCCATCTGCTTCCTGAAATAATTCCCTGTGTTTCATCTGTTCATCTAGGGGAAGAAGAAGAAGAGGAAAAGGGACAAGCAGCCTGGGGAGACCAATGGTAAGTCAGAATGAGCAGGATGGAGGAGGGAGCGGTACTCAGAGGACCACTCTTTTTATGTCAGGCTTCGGTCTGGGGGAGGCAGGAGAAATTCAAGGCCAGGACGTTGTGGGGTGGTGTGGGGTGGGGATCCCATCTTAGCCAGCCTTTTTGTTTACGCATTTTAATTAATTGCTTCATGACTGCCCTTTTAAAGCTAGTAACATTCATTGTTGCATGAAAAGCGCATTGTAAGTCTAGTGGAATGTGTTTTTAAATAACTGCAAAGGCTGTAACTGGAGAGCGGTAGGCATGCCTAGGCGGGGGTTTGTCCAGTCTGCTTACTTTGTATGTGTCTGAGTAGGGATGAGGAGGGGGCTAGGGGAGCTGAAGGGGTGTGTGCGAGCGTTTGATGTTAACGGGGCTGTTCCTGAATGTCCTGATGCATGCCTTTACAGTGGTCAACTGCACCCGATTTAAATTAAGGAGGTTTGTCATTCTCTAGAAGAAATTAGAAATACTGCATAGGCAATCTCAGAAGTCCCTTCCAGAAGGCCAGGCTTCTACAAACAACGACAAAAACATTTTGAAGGCTTTGTATAATTTGTTCTTTTTTTTCAGAACACAGCGAATGTTTCCTAAATCCTTGCCTTTCACTTCCTCCGATTACAGGTGCTAATGTCATTTTGAGTCATTAAAATAGTTGATAAACTGTTTTTTAAAAATTTTTCTTGCCATGATAGTTTTATTAACATGAAACACGTATGACCTTTGAACATTCTTTAAAATGACCATCTACACGGTTTCGTATGTTTCGGTAGATTTTTATTTTTTCAGTTGCTTTCGTTTTGTTTTTTTTTTTTTAATTTAATTTAACTTCTGCTTTGTTTATTTATTTTTCCCGTAACAGTGGTTTAAGCTGTGATGACAGTGATTAGAGTTGAACTAACTGTGCAAATTGAATATGCAGTATTTCTTTAAAAGAGACTGGTCAAACAAACAAACAACAACAAAATGGAAGGAATTCAGTAATAAACCTCCTTAATCTAATGGCATTTTTTTTCATTGCTCCCACTAAGTTTTCTCACGCAAGCATGCATCCGCAGTATGATTATTTTTTTCCTTCGCTTTTTTTTGTTTTAGTTTTTTTCCTTCCTTTTGCTTTTCTGCTCATAATTTGCAAATCCACTAGCATTTCACTGACTGTATCTGCTTACACGCTGCTGTGAGCTTCTTACTTACCCTTAACAGCTCATTCGCACAGCCTGTTGACCTCCATCTGTTCCTCTCTTAACATTAATGAAAACAGTTTTAAAAAACCGAAAAGATGAACATTCCGAAAGCTGCAATATCCCAGTACCACAACCCTTTTCTTTCTTTCTTTCTGTTTCGTTTTGTTTTGTTCTGTTTTTATTTGTAGTTTTTTTTTCTTTTTTTAAACTGTTATCCTCTGAGAAGAAAAAAGCATGTGACAAACTTAATTCCCTCCTTTGCTTTATTTTATTCTGTAAGAAAAACAAATTAATAGAGAGAAAGGAAAAAGAAAAAAGAAAGCTGAACCGAAAGAGGAAATACATTATTTAAAAGTTAGTTCAGCATCTAACTGCCCTGTATCAGTTCAAACCGAATCGGAGAGACAGTCCTTAAAGAAGGGATACTGCAGCTTTATTTGCAACAGCTAATTTCACGAGTTGAATAAGAATGTGATTTTTTTTTTTACCTTTTTATTTTTTTAATTAAAGAAAGTTAAAAATGGAAAGTCAATATTTTGTAATTAGTAACCAGGTCATTGATTTATTCCCTTTTTTATTTTTATTTTTTTCTTATTTGTATCTTTCTCTTTCCCTCCCCTCCGTCCCTCTCTCTCCCTCCCTCTCTCTCTCTTTCTCGTCTCTCCCTCTCTCTCCCTCGCCCTCTCCCTCTCTCCCACGTCGTCCTCCTCTGCTCGCTTCTCTCTTGAACTCATTCAGACCTGAGCGCTCCTAAGAAATGCCGAGCGCGCTTTGGCCTTGATCAACAGAATAACTGGTGCGGCCCTTGCAGGTGTGTATAGATTTCCCAGATTCGCTGTGCTGGTTTGCAGCTGGTCTATTCGGTCCTTTCCCCCCTTCTCTGGCCTGTTGCTTCGTAGCTCTGTGTGTGGATCTTAGGAGACAGGAGGGCGCGGGACACTGCTCTGTGAGGGACGTGCTTGTCCTCCTCGCTGCTGCTAGCCAAAATGCCACTGTAAAACAGCATCATTTGTGCCTCCTCGGGTCAGCGACAGCAAACCCCAGCGCGCCCCCTCCCAGGGAATGTTGCCTGCCAGCCCCTTCCTCCTGACAGCCCAGGATGGGGGCTCAGTGACATCCATCGTAAGCCTGGCCTAGGTAGAAGCAAACGACGTCACCTTCCCCCTCCTCTTCTCTCTCTGTTTTTATTTATTTTTCCCTGTTGTTTTTTTTGGTTTCTGGTTGTTGTTTTTCCTTTTGTGTTTTATCGTTTTATTTTATTTTATGTTTTCTTTTGACGCATAGAAGCCCTTTCCTTTCATGTCCTTGGTGAGGAAAGATAATCCAATAGAACCAAGCTGATAGTGAAGACAAGTCAGCCGTAGCCGAGAGTTCACATCCAGCTGAGCACGACCCACCATTGTGTTGTATTTTTTTGTGTTTACCTTATGCTGACAGATGCAAATACTCCAAAGAAGTGTCGGGCACTGTTCGGGCTTGACCGACAGACTTTATGGTGCAAACCGTGCAGGTATATTACCTACTGCGAGGCCTTTGGGAAAAATCAAAGCCTTCTGTCCTTCTGGTACCTTAGTGTGTCAACATATTTTGACCTTGATCCCATCTACTTCCCCGCTGGCATCAATGACTAATGATCCTCATTCTTCAAAATTTCCTTGCTAATTTTATGCCGTGTCCTCTCCCTACTTTTCTCTTTCTCTCTTTCCCCTGCTCTTACGAATCACATAGCCCTGGAGGTAGGAGCTAGACCACAGCCCTCACAGACCAGGACGGGCGCTTATCCTTTTTGCTCTGAAAGCCAGCATCCTGGAACTGGCCCGGCCCTGTCCGTACTTCTGCGGCGTGTCTGCAGAACGCAGAGAGAGCCACCGTTTCCGAAGGTTTGAATGAGCTCAAATTGGCAGCAGTAGCATTCCCGAGCACTTGGGAGTCTAGACATTTGTAGAAGGGCTCTGGGGCAGGCTTTTTTTGGTTTTGTTTTGGTTTTTTTTGTTTGTTTTCTGTTTAAAAACCACGTCTCTGCACAGAGGAGCCTGGTTAGCTGACATTGTTTTACAGTGCTGAAAAGAAGCGTGGCATTAAACGGCATGCACCAGCTGACGGGCTGCAAGCAGTGAGTTTTGCAGCCACACACCACAGTGCTGCTGGCCTGCAGAATGAAAAATACATACAGATATATATATATATTTTTAGAGAGACAGGGAGAGAACACTGGTTCCAAAATGAATCAGAAGCGTCCAAATTAAACGCCTGTGTTCCACCTGCAGGTTCCACCCAACCTGTAATTTCAGGGAAGGTGTAGGTACTTCCTTCTTGGTGGAGGGATACCAACTAGTTCCTGTCTCCTTTCCTTTCCTTTAATGACCACCTTTGGTTAAATTTGTTGTTTCTTTGTTCTGATACAAGCAGTCTTTGAATTTGGAATATTATGATGGTAGGTATCTCAACACCCAAACACGCCTCCCTGTTCGTAGTGCCTCCCATGTCACGTGTCCCCTCCTCCACGCCCTCGCCATGTGTTCCGTGTTTAGACGTTAGCTCAGATGTCCATTCCATTACGTGCATGCCCACCAGTCTCCTGTGTCTCTGCCCCCCGCCTTGATGCCTTATGAGAGATCGGTGAAGTGCCGATCGGTGAAGTGCCTCGCGATGACCAGACATTGAGAGGAGAGGACCCAAGAGTCTTTCTTGAGAGAGACCTCCCTCCACAGGCAACCCTTCATCCATTGAGTGAGGACAGGGAGGCCCTGGGTGAGCGTCCAGCAGTAGAGGGATCCCCCAGTTGTCCTGTGAGGTGGCAGTGTTCACGGAGGTGACAGATGTCCTTGCCACACAGTCCCCGGGTCCTCCCTATGCAACAGAAAAGTTTCCTGCTGCAGTGGACAGAGAGCATTACATATTTAATAAGGGCTGGCCTGGAAGCGGGGCACTCTGCTGACCCTGTGTAGGCAGAGAATTTGTGTCAGACCTTTATTTGTGCCGAGTAGGAATGTAAGTAGCTGCCGAATCCTGCTCTGAGACGCCTGCCGTGGTGGAGGCTTAGCTGATCCCAGGGCTCGCTCCTGAGAGAGGGTTTTCCGGGCTCTGTAGGCATGTGCGGCCGAGACCATTGTGCACCCCACGTACTGTGGTTTGTTGCCTGCAAGTTAGAATTGGCATTTCAGGGGGTGAAAGTTACCATTAGTAACATTGACCAGACAGTCCCTTCCCAGACCCAGCTGCACCTTGCTTAATCCCAGTGTGGAATCTTCCTCAGAAGCTAGAATTTTCATGACATTTTTGCAAAACAAAACAGAAACAAACGACCCTAAACCTTCATAGCTGCTCCAGAGACGTGATTTTCTGCAGTGCAGCTTGGAGGGGCCGGCTTTCCGTGCGGCAGCTGTCATGGACGCTGAGAAGTCCCTCCTCCCTCCTCACATCCTTCCTCTTTCCCGCCTCAGCACCCTTAGAACTTCTCTGGTAGTTTTCTTCTGTTGAGGATGTTGTTTCATACGCTAAAAGCTTTAGCAGATGCATTTCTGCCCCTTTAAGGGTGTAATTCCCAAACAGGATCAGGAAGAACTCTTACTTTCCTTTTAGAAGGAATCTGAAGGAGCTAAAACAGATTTTTCAAGGGGCCACCCCTTGATGGGAGATGGAGTCTAAGTGGGGGAGGGTAAGAGAATGGGTTTTGTCCCTTTTTTTCCCTCAACTTGTCCTCTTGACTTTGCCAGGATCTGGCTTGATGCTAAATCAATAAGACAAAAATGTGCTTTAACAAAAAGAAAAGTTGCAAAACGAGGCATTTTCTGGCCCATCTGAAATGTGTGTTCCAACTGCTGTTCGCTCCGCCACCTCTTACAAGGAGTGGTCTCCCTGTCATTCATAGTCTTCTTCATGTCCCCTGTTCAAGTGCCCCCACCCATCCCCACGGTGGAAACTTCCTTTCAGGAGGAGGGCGGGAGGGGGGAGGGGAGCACCAGAAACGCTCCTAGCCAATCAGGGCTCCTTGCTCCCTGCACAGGGTTTCTAATTTTATTTGACATTTGAGGACATTTTAACAAGATTCTGTTTTGAGCCCACCAAGTTGCTTTCCCCATCTTTTCACTCTGCCCTAATATAGCATGGAATGCTGCTGGATGTCACCCCGTTTCCTGTTATTTCCCCCCCCTTGTCCCTTTCCTCTCTCCCCTCTCTCATTTGTCCCTGTTGCTTTCTCAGTTTTGCTTATGCCCCCCCACCTCCTTTCTTGTCCCATTTTTAAAATGCATGGACATCTTAGTTTTTTGAGCATGTTTTGATCTGCAGGCTAAGGTGGTTTAAAAACTCTGAGAGGCTTAATTATTTACCTTGGGTTTCTGGGATGGGAGCAGAACCAAAATCGTGTTTTAGTCTGTCCCAGAGGAGAAAAAGGAACCTTGTCAAATTGAAGGTGAAGAGGGGCTACCCTCGCTTTCCTAGAGTTCCTTCCGACCCAGAGCGGGGAGGATCGACCCTGAGACCACCGGCCCAATGGGAAGGAAGGAAAGACAAGCATGTTCCCTCCCACCCTCCCCTCCTCTCCTCCCTTCTGCCACCTTGCTGAGTCCACACCCCATGCACTGAGAGGCATCGTCAGACAGCTCTGGGGCACAGAACCCAGGAGGACTCATTACACCCCCTTCCTTTCAAAGGCCAGTGACATCCAACAGTGGTTGCCTTCAACCAGGCAGCATCTTAGTTTTTCTCCCGTGACGGGAGCCCAGCCGGCGCTTACACACATTTTTAGACGGAGTGTTTCAGCCGCGGTTCTGACGTGGTATTCTCCTTAGATCAGCACATTTCCCTGTGTCTGCATTATTTTTACAGCATGAGTGGGGCTGATGCCCGAGATCACCTTTCCTACCAAATATTATCCCATCAAATGGGGATGACTAAATGAAGCTTTGAGGTCACAAGCCCAATTTCTTGAGTTGATTTCCCCAACTTTGGAGGATAAGCAAGAGAGGCTCTGAAATTCTCAATCCTATTTCTTACATAAACAGGAACTGGAGAGGGGAGAGTCTGGTTTTTTGGTGCAGGGCGAAATTAATCTTTCTGGTTTAAATACTAATCCTGACAACCCCCTTCAAGAAGGCCCATGCTGCCACTCCCTGGCACTTCTTCTTTGTCGTCACTTCCTTGTGACAAGCTGCACCCTCCGTTCAGTGGCCCCGGCACATGGACCAGGGCAGGACGCCCCTTCCTCCCATCCTCACCGGCTCTCCTTCTAGCCTTCTCACTGTGGGGTGGGGGAGGGGAAGACCCCAAATCTTTAAAAAAAAAAAAATCAAGTTCGAATCATAATTTAATCCACAACCTGCAGGCCATACGACCAGTTATTCTTGTTCCTTTGGATCATTTTCTGTTTTTCTTATTCTTCCCCCTCCCCCACCTTTGTTTATCCTCTTCTACCTGTTTTTTGGTGGTTTTTTGTTTTACTTTGTTTTTTTACGTTTTGTTTTGTTTTTGAGTTTATTTGGTTTTCTTTTCGTTTTCCCCCCACCCTCCTCTCACCTGACTCTGACCTCTCTTGATTTGGTGTGGTTCTTAACAGACAAGCCCAAAAGCTCTCTGGGCGCCAGCAGCCTCTGGTGGTGGTGGTGATGGTGGAGGTGGCGGAGGTGGTGGGAGAAAACCTTTAAGCCTCTTGCTAGCGCTGCCTTCAGCTCTGTGGGCTCAACAGTCAGCACTTTGAGAATTTCATATTGATACGAGGCGCCTGGGGAGGGAGCTGTCTTTCTCTTTTATACACACACACACACACACACACACACACACGGTCGGGGGGGTGGAGGTGGGAGTAGGTGGGAAGTGGGA